TATATATATATATATATATATATATTAATTAGCTATATCGTACAATGTATAAATATTTGGCTTTAGTTGTATTTTTTTTTTCTAAAAGTTTATTTGAATATCTTAATTTCTTTTAAACATTTAATTAAAAATATTTTAAGATCGAAAAAGAAAACAAACGGCTCATGAACATTGGCTACCTCTAACATTGATTTTCAAATGATTTATTGATTGTACATGTAATTTTATGTTTAAATAATCTTTCATTTCTTATATTTAATGTTCGTTTGTGGATTAGTCATTGTATAAAAATTATAATTTTTAAGAAAATGCTAAGTGTTATATGTACATTGATTAAGGTTTCAAAAGTATAATTTTTTTTTATTGAAAAGTATAAGAATATATTCCTTCGCATAAATTAAATAGTTATAAGATATGAGGGATCAAACTAATAGTCTTAGGTTCAATTCACGTCTTTATTAAAATAATATTTGACCATAATTAAATTAAAAATGTTTAGAATATTAAAAGAAAATTAAGATAATAAATTTTAAGCTACTAAAATTAGATTGCGAAATAAACTAATTTATAAGACAGTCAAATGAATTTATAAGCTCTTTCAATATATTTTTTATTATTTTAATTTATTACTATGATATTAAATGAACTTGCAACACTAACAAGATGTTAATTCAAGTGATACTAAACTCAGTTTCTTTAAGTTAAGTCTCAAAAATCAAGTATTTTAAATGAAAAAAAAAAACATGAGGGAAATTTTACTAAAAATAATCGGTCAAATTTTTTGACAAAAATTAATTATTAACAAAATTAATAAATACTTGATAACATAACATAATTAAAAAAATTGAACTTGCAATATAAATGTTGTGTGACATTTAATGTCTTTAAATGATTCTATCATTTTAGTCCTTCTAACAGGCCAACACGACAGCTTTAACGAAAGGAGATACTTGCAAATGTATTATGACATTCAAGTCAATTGCGAGTGAATTAGAGGTGTAATGACTTGAATAATAGGATATGAATTTTACTTATTTCTTAAGGGATATCAAGTTATAAATTAAGATATACAAATAAATATATATTTATATATATATATTATATTTTAAAATTGTCTTCTTAAAAATATATTTTTTAAGACAAATATGTAATTTATATTTATATATATTAAATTTATATTTATATATATTATATTTTATAACTTGATATCCCTTAAGAATATAAGTAAATTTTACTTATTTCATTTAAAATGTAATTTAGATTTTAAAACTGTCTTCTTAAAAATATATTTTTTTTAAGACAAATATGATATAAAATTCTTACACAAAAATAACCCAAAACTGATATATGCTTACAATTATTTTTGAACGAACATTTTTCGTTAAAAATAGATTCATAAGCAAAACGAAACATAAAAATGAGGCATGCACACGTTCAACACGAGTTTGAGCCATTGTAACGGTCGCAAATAGAAACATGCAATACTTCCTTTCCCTCCTCAATATTATATTTCATACACACTCGCACACCAATGTTTAATGTAAGCTTAAATAGAATACTCATATTCTCTAACTAAAATACGTTTACAATAAAATTTTGGTGATGATTGTGAATTAAAAATTAGACAATTAGTGAGATATTTGAATATAATAATATGTTAGCATAGTATAATGTAACTAAATTTTTATTTATAACAATATATAAAGAGAATACTCATTTTATGTATCATTTTATTTTTCTTACTAATTTATATTTAAGAATAAAATAAGAAAAAAAATATAAATAATTATCTCTTTAAAAATAATAATTATTCACTTTTTTTTTAAAAAAAATATTAATTTATTTATTTATTTACGGAGATACATAGTTTTTTTTTTACTAAAATATTATAAATAGAAAGATAAATAGATGGGTTCTTCTTGTAATGCACATCCATTGGTTCAAATGATGAAGCAAAGATGCACTTAGTTAAAGTTATTTTATTTTGCCTCCAAGAAACATGGAACATGAAATTGCTTTCGATTTGGCAGCATGAGGCTGATGGAGTGGCCTGGAATGCCACCTAACGAAGTGAACCCAAAGCTTTTGGCAGTGGCAAGCCCTATTCGATATGGTTGGGAAGGGACAATTTAGGGCCATGTGATGGTTCCTACCCTCTTCACCTCATGCATTTGTCCTAGGGTATTACTACTATATCCTACCGCCTCGACTCAATTCATCTAAACATTACTTTGTCCACATCCCCACTCAACTCTTATTTCCATTTTTTATTCTCTCCTACTTTTGTATATCCATAATTTGCTACGTAACTTGCATTTTGTTCAATTACTAAAAGATTGATTTTTCAAAATCAAGTGGAATAAAAAAAAGGCGAGAATCAACTTTGTAATATACATTGCCTTTTGGTGAAAAAAAAAATTCACATACATTGATTTAACATGTTTACATGAATAACATTCCAATTAATATTTATTAACATGATTTGACTATGATAACATTTGAATAAAGAGTATTTAAACAATATATTTAGATAATTGAATTTAAAAATTTGAAAGCACATATATTTGTAACAAAGTATTTGTATATAATTATTCCTGTAGGTATAACCTTTAATTGTAATATAGGAATTTGAAGAATGAATTGGAGAAAAGTAGAGTAGAGGAGAAAGAGTGGGATCCAAAGAGAAAGGGCTAAAAAAGGGGGAAGAGGGAGATGGTGTTGGCAAAGGCTAAAGAGTTGTCTGAAAGTGAAAGCAAAAGATGATAACACTAAGCGACTTGTACCATGTGATGACAGCAATGGTGCCACTCTACGTGGCCATGATCCTGGCGTACGGTTCGGTGAAATGGTGGAAAATATTCTCGGCGGAGCAATGCTCAGGCATAAACCGTTTCGTGGCCCTGTTCGCGGTCCCTCTCCTCTCCTTCCACTTCATCGCCTCCAACAACCCGTACGAAATGAACTTGCGGTTCATCGCGGCCGACACGCTCCAAAAGATCATCGTGCTGGTGGTCCTGACCATCTGGAGCAACGTGAGCAAGAGAGGGTGCCTGGAGTGGACGATAACACTCTTCTCCATCTCGACGCTCCCCAACACGCTGGTCATGGGCATTCCGCTTCTCAAAGGAATGTACGGAGACTTGTCGGGGAGTTTGATGGTCCAAATTGTGGTCCTCCAGTGCATCATCTGGTACACGCTCATGCTCTTCATGTTCGAGTACAGAGCCGCCAGAATGCTCATCTCAGAGCAGTTCCCCGACACTGCCGCCACCATTGTCTCCATCCACGTCGACTCTGACGTCATGTCCCTCGACGGACGCCACCCCTTGGAGACCGAAGCCCAGATTAAAGAGGACGGCAAACTCCACGTCACCGTTCGAAAGTCCAACGCTTCCAGATCCGACATCTTCTCCCGAAGGTCCCAGGGCCTTTCCTCCACCACCCCTCGCCCTTCCAACCTCACCAACGCTGAGATTTACTCTCTTCAGTCCTCCAGAAACCCCACGCCTCGTGGCTCCAGCTTCAACCACACCGACTTCTACTCCATGATGGCTGCCGGACGGAGTTCCAACTTCGGACCCAACGACGTTTATGCCCTCTCCGCCTCCAGGGGCCCCACTCCCAGACCTTCTAATTACGACGACGATTCTTCCAAGCCCAGGTACCACTACCCTGCGCCCAACCCTGGCATCTTCTCTCCCACCGCTTCTAGAAACGCCACCAAGAAGCCCAACGCTCCGCCCCCGCCCCAGCCCCAGCCCCTCCCCAAACCTGACGATCCTAATAAAGACCTTCACATGTTCGTTTGGAGCTCCAGTGCTTCCCCCGTTTCTGATGTCTTCGCTGGACATGAATACGATCACAAGGAACTCAAATTAACCGTCTCACCCGGAAAAGGTTTTCTTTTCTTTTTTTTTTTACAATTAAAATTCATATATTAATTTAGTTTAGTTCTTTATAAATTTGTTATTGTAATCACAGGGGAGGGTAATACTAATAATAGAGACGGTACTCAAGAGGAGTACCTAGAGAAAGATGAGTTCAGCTTCGGAAACAGAGGGATCGAGAATAATAATCAGCACGAAGGTGACAAAGTTGGAAACGCAAATCCAAAAACTATGCCTCCAGCCAGTGTAATGACGAGGCTTATATTGATCATGGTGTGGAGGAAACTTATCAGAAACCCCAACACATACTCTAGCCTCATCGGTCTAACTTGGTCACTTGTTTCATTCAGGTACTTCATCCACTTTTTTCCATTCTTGATTTTTATTCACTATGGATTGTGTTATGGGAATCATTCATTTGTGATGTTGTGGCTTGTAGGTGGAACGTTCAAATGCCTGCCATAATTGCAAAGTCTATTTCGATTTTGTCAGATGCAGGGTTGGGCATGGCCATGTTTAGTCTTGGTTAGTATACTATACACTATAGACTATAGAGTATAGAGTATAGAGTATAGAGTATAGACATAGATCTTCCTTCTTGTTTTGAAAAAATACTTTAATTGGGAAAAGATAATTAATTATAAAGTAGGAATTAACTTGTTCTGACCTTTGTTTGCTTGCAAAAGAAAAAGAGGGGGCAGGAAATCTTTTCTGATTCCATGTTAGCTTAATTTCGTATTATTTAATGAATGCTTTCTTTTAATTTTTTAATATAAAGAAAGTAAGCAAGCAAGTAGGCAAGTGTGTATGCGTATGATGCACAATGTAGTTCTATTGTTCTACCAAGCGAAAAAGCAAAGTGAGGAAAGAAACAGTGTGGTGTGGTGGTGTTATTATGAGGGGGATCGCTTTTTGGGTTTTGGAGAGGTGGGAATGATGATGAAAGGTATTTGAGGAATGGAGAGCATGCAAATGCTTTGATTTGATTAGGATGGTTGCTTTTGATGTGCATGACAGGTCTGTTCATGGCTTTGCAACCGAGGATCATAGCATGTGGAAATTCCGTCGCAGCTTTTTCTATGGCCGTGAGATTCCTTACAGGTCCAGCTGTCATGGCAGCTGCTTCCATTGCTGTTGGACTCAAAGGCGTTCTCTTACACGTTGCCATTGTTCAGGTACTATACTTTCTTTTTTGCTCCCTTCTAACACAACCAATACAATATTCACTCACATTACCTCAAAAAATTCCACTACATTAAAGTATGCACGTATACCTCTGCCAAGATAACCTATTTTATTGCTTAAAATAATTAAAGCTGTTAATTGGTTTAATTTCCTGCTACAATGTCGATGGTATGCACCGTGCTCTTCTACAGAAAATGTAATAATTAGTGTAAAACTTTTACACCGGTAACCAATTATATCTTTTAATTGTATCATGTCATTTTAATAATAAATATTTTTTTTACACTGATAACTAATTATATTTTTTAATTATGTCATGTTATATTTAAATATGACATAATTAAAAAATATAATTGGTTATCAGTATAAAAAAATTATATCGATAAGTTGATTAACTCTAACTTTAATTGGCAAAAGAAAAGAATTAATGATGAAAATATCCTTATTGAATCTGTGATTTGTAGAACAAACATTTGACCACTTTGTCTAATATTGCTGTTTGAAATTCGATTGTCAAAATATACAGGCGGCTCTTCCCCAAGGCATTGTCCCCTTTGTCTTTGCCAAGGAATACAATGTACATCCTGATATTCTCAGTACGGGGTAAGTATACATCATTAAATATTTTTATACGTCAAAAAATACTTGATAAATTATGCAATTAAAGTCAATTTCAAAACTTTACATTCATTATTTAATATTCCGAAGTTAATTGGAAAACATATTAAAAATCCTAATGGATGGCGTGTCGTGAATTAAATGCAGTGTTATTTTTGGGATGTTGATTGCATTGCCCATTACGCTCGTGTACTACATTTTGCTGGGGTTATGAATGAAAGTAAAGATGGACAATATGAAGATTAAATGTGGCATCCATGCAAGGCTCGTTAGAGACTACTTAGAGCACGAGAACAAATGTTCAATGAAATACAAAAAAGCATCACCATAATTGAATAGGAGGAATTGATCCACGGATGAGTTTCCATTTTTTTTTTTTTTATGAATTGTCCTTGCTTAGTGAAAATGTAAAATCATGTTCGTAGCTAATTTATAAAATGCCGCCTCGTTAAATTTCAAATTAAAAGTTCTCCCGATTCCGTATCACTCATCAAGTGAAGAAGGAATAGAGCAAAGAGTTTTTATGTATATTTCTTTAATTATTTTCACTTTAATGATGAACATTTTAAATTGGAATTTTTTTTGTACTCTTAAGAAAATGTTTTCAAAATCAAACACGTGCTTAGCTTTCCTATTGTTTTTACATTTTACTTTTTATTATTTGACAACAACAAAGAAAGCGAGAGGACAGGTTCTAGTGACCCGCAAATCGTTCATTTTAGCGCAACTAGGGATAAATTTCAATATTTTCCAATCACTTGTCAACAAACGTGTATAACATTGCTTACACTACGGTTGCATGTTGTATTATCCTTCTAGATTGATTCATGATGTGTCGTTTCACCTAAGTTGTGGGAAAGACCACATAACGAATAGGGGAGAAGGTTTTAAATTGTAGAGTAAGATGATTCTAAATATGAAATAAACAAGCCATGAAGGTGGAGGCATATATTTGATGCGCATGGAAATATATGAAGGTAGTGCAAAAAGGGCCCCCCCATTGTAGGATAGGGGTTTGATTTGATGTGGACTGCTTTGGAATATTAGGGGACAACATTCACAATCTAAAGTTTCTCGTCCTTTTTCTCTCACTCCTTTCTTCACATATCTATTCTTTTAGTTATACATACATTGCCTTTTTGTGACACCTTTCCTTTTCGGTCTTCGTTTCTGTTTGGTGCTTTGCATGACATCTTTTTGAACCCATGTAAAATAGAATAGAGAAGCCAAGCATAAGATCTGCCTCCATTCACTAATGTTTGCAAGTAACATCTACTAATTCTAGTGGCTATTAGTAAAGATGCTAAGGTGAGTGACCGAATTTCCTTTTAAATGGGAAAATGCAATATTATTAGAGCTATACATGCCATACCTTTTTATAATATTTTTATATATTTTCTATTGTGCGAATCATTTATCACATTTTGAACTTTTACGTATAGATACAATGGGTTTGTTAAGACTAGAAAAACTTCCTTTAAAACAAATTTGTCTCTGAAGTGAGTTTGCATTTATTTATATAAAGTATATCGTGATGTTAACCTACAAAACTAAAGAGTAGCTAGATATTTTTTATAAGCTAAAAAGTAGCTAGATATAACAATACTTACTCACTTAATATTAATATATTAGGGTTACCAGAGTGAGTTGTGTCCCTTACGTGAGTCAATTTGTCACAATTCAATTATTAAAAAAATTCTCTAAGATCTCATTATTAATGTGACCCAATACTCACAAAAATAATAGGTTATTCATGTGCAAGCCTAGATATTTTGGTAAAAAGAAAAAGGAAATTATGAAACCTTTTATTTTTCAATTTCGTTTATCACTCGTCTCCATAACAATGTTTGCAGTTCAATTTATTCGGTTTTTAGACATTTTTTTTAATCTAAATCAAACTTAAAAAATGTAGGTTAAATGTGTTTTGTCCTTCTAAATAAAAAATATTTATTTTTAAAAGAAAAAAAATATAAAGCAGAAAAAATACTAAGAATTTTAAAAGGAAAAACAAAAAAAAAAAAAAGATAAATTGGCAGAGTGACGTTATGGTTTGAAATTCTTGCCTGAAATAAGTAGTAGATGATGCAGGCAGAGAATGGAGGAAAAGTATTAAGTTTTGTTGAGTTTGACATATACTCCCCAAGATTCAGTGACTCTGTGAGTAGTCTACATCCTCACAGGCAGGCAGTGCTCTATGAAGTCTATTGCTCCGGTGCCCTCTTATTTGAAGGGGTTTTGGTGCCCCTCAGTACAAAAGTTGGGTTTTTAGGGGCAATAAGGTAAATTGATAAATTGATCAATTTACCTTATTGCCCCTAAAAACTCAACTTTTGTACTGAGGGGCACCAAAACCCCTTCAAATAAGAGGGCACCGGAGCATTCCCCCTCTATGAATGGTCCTTTCAAGATTCTACATTCTTTAATTCAAAATACTTATCAAGAATCAACATCCACATACACAACACAAGAATATAAGAGCATTCGAACTCTTAGATAAACGTCTATGTCTGCTGTGAGATATTAGATATGTTGACACATTATATTCAAACTCAGTATCCTTTCCGGACAACACCAGCCTGGTTTCTCTGTATCTTTCCAAATTATTTTATATTATGTTTCAATATAAGTTTAAATTAATTTATTTTTTTTAGAATTGAGTTTCATTGTTTTAAGTAGTTGTTAGATATAATTAACAATTAATTCAAATAAAATGGTTTGGATGTCGTGGGCCTATAGCCTAATGAATAATAATCAGTGGAGCATAATTATAAAGGAAGATACTACATCGATGGATATGTTAAAATCCTCTACATTAATATAAACCTCTATGTCTGTATGCATGCATTTAACATTATCATGAAATCCTTGCGTCCTATTTATAAACATTCGTTTCCATTTGGCTAGAATCTAAATTTTTGGGAAAAGAACAACTATATATCAATGTGCAATAGATCAAACGACCCGACAACAATAAGGTAGCAAAAGTAGGGTAGATTTAACCTTTTCCTCACCAGCATTATCCAATGCATAATGGCTGGATGGGAAAGCGACAAAGTGTTTGGAGAGAAAAATATGTGCCAAAACCTACTCCCAAATGATGGATCGTTCTCATTTTACTGTGTTACTGTTAATTCTTAATGATGTCCAATTCATCCATTCATTCCTAGCTATCCAAATCACTCACTATGTAAGGAACAAATTAGAAGCTTGAGCATGAATCAATGAACTCTAAGAAACAACTTTTCATTGGACCAACTTCATTATATAAGTAATGTGGTATATATAGAGTGAGATGAGGAGAAAAATGTAAAGTATGGGTGGGGGAAATGGCGAATGGCGAATGAGGCAGTGACAGAGAGAAAGGGATGGTATTATGGAGGCAAAAAGAGAAATAATGCATTTAAGAAGAGAAAAGGAACAAGAGGAGTGTTGTGGTGTGTGAGAGTGAGATGAAGGAAGTGTTGTGGTGTGGGTAACGTTTTAATTGTCTCCCACTAACTCGTGCTGTGTCGGCCCTGCCCTCGACAACGCTTTGTGCCTTTGTCACCTTTCTTTTTGGTTTTACTCTTCTCCTCCTTTTCACATCTTCACTTCCTTATTACTTATTATCTTTCATCACCTTCTTCATATTTCCATATACACCGCTTTCTATTAAACATTACTCCATCTTTACTTAATCATTAATTATTCAGTTGCAGGGACAATGCAAGAAGAAAAATTATCCCGCAAGATATATTGCCTCCTCCTTTTTGCTATCCTATCTTTAAATAAGCCCAAAATTAATGTCAATTACACACAAATTAAACAATCTCAACCATTCAATTAATATAAAATATCTTATCATTGATAATCATTTCAACCATATACACCACCTAACAACATGTTTTATTTTTCTACTACACTGGTCTTTCATGTTAAAAATTTTCTTGCATATATAATGTTATATCACATTCTTCCCTCCTCCCAAAATAAAATTATGCACAAAAAAAAATCGTTAAACCTAAAATAAATTAAGTGAGATTTTTTAAAACTAATAACAATATTTTTAATAAAAAATAAAAAATAAAATAGATATAAATCTTAAAAAATAATTATATTTGTATAAATTTTAGTAAATGAGCCTTTTAGAGAGAGTTTTTAATAATATAAAAAATATTTTTTTTAATCACAGGCCTTGAAAAGGCTATATAAATATTAATATAGAATAATTTTTTTTAAAGGATCCAAAGTAAAAATTTTAATGACCTCATGCTTGAATCAATCCAACAATTTTGTATTAACAAAATGATTTAAGTAGTAAAGTAAATAAAATATGAATTTAATGTTTGAATCATCTTTACAATATATAGTCTAGTTTCACAAGAAAACATTTTATAAAAGAGCAACAATTTCAATGTATATTAATAAAATAATATTTTGACTCTTAAATGATGTAAATAACGAAATCTCATAAAATTTAAAAGTAGACAGACCGTCTATACTTTCTCAAACAATAAGAGGTGTTGAATATAGTTATAGGCTCGTATTTTTTTTTTTTATCTCCATAATCTTTGATCAACAATTTCTTGAATATTTAGATATCAATTTAAAATTATGTTCAACAAAAAAAAAATACATATTATAATATAGAAAAAGTAAAAGTTTATGAGTGTAATTTTTTTTCAACTCTAGTTGAGTTCAACTCAACTCATTCTTAAACACATCCTTCCTCTTTTGTACTTTCTACTTTGACCATTTCACTTATTTATTCCAACTATCTGTTTTAATTTGTATAATTTTCACCATTGTGAAAATATTTCTTTTACTAATATTTTAGATTATGAAATATACAGATTAAATATTCGTTATATATAACTAAACTTTATAATAAATTATATTTTAATATAGAAATTTTATTTAAAATTTTATAAATAGATATTTAAAATACCTATTATATTTTAAATTTATGATAACTAATTTATATTATAATATAATATAATATGTATAAATAATTATAGTAAATAAAAATAAAATAAGATAAAAAGTTAAAAATATTTCTAAAAAATATTTCGTCAAAGAAAAGACATAAAAAAAATTGTTTAATATATAAAATTGATTATAATACAGACATAGTATCACCAATATTCAAACCATAAATTCATTATTCGTAGGTGCAGAACATATGTTAAAGGCCTAACATAATAAGCCCTCTGAAACATGCATGTAGCTGGAAATGACGAGACGGAGGGAATAAGTTAGTTTTATAATACATGTGATCGCACTGATATATGCAACTAAGCTTGTTAATTTGAGGTATGAGACTTATTCATCACCATTTGAAGCTTAGTCCCAGCTTTAGAAGATCTACGCATGCACATGGATGATGGATCACATATATATATATATATA